CAACAGGCGAGACCGTTGCTCTGAAACTGGTAGGTAGAACACAAACAGTTCGAGCGTTTGCGGATGCGTCTCCCATGAACATTGTTGACGAATCTTCTTCCCGATACAGATCGATCTCGAATCCAGCGACGACGACATCCAAGAGATCCAGCAGGAAATCTCCGTCCTCAGCACCTGCGCCAGCCCCTACGTCACCCAATACCGCGCAAGCTTTCTCCACGGCCACAAGCTATGGATTGTGATGGAATACCTCGGTGGCGGCTCCTGTCTCGACTTGCTGAAGCCGGGAAACTTTGCCGAGAGCCAAGTTGCCATCGTCTGCCGAGAGTTGCTGCGCGGCCTCGAGTACCTGCACAGTGAAGGCAAGATCCACCGCGACATCAAGGCGGCAAACATCCTTCTCTCCGAGACGGGCAAGGTCAAGCTGGCTGACTTTGGTGTCGCCGCGCAACTGACGGACCTCAAGTCCATCCGCAACACGTTTGTGGGCACGCCCTTCTGGATGGCCCCCGAAGTCATCCAGCAGGCTGGTTACGACTTCCGCGCTGATATCTGGTCACTCGGCATCACGGCGATCGAGCTTGTCCTGGGTGAGCCACCACACGGCAAAGTGCATCCCATGAAGGTGCTGCTCCAGATTCCCAAGAACCCGCCGCCACGCCTCGAGGGCAACTTTAGCAAGGACTTCAAGGACTTTGTCGCGCAGTGCCTCATGAAGGATCCCGATCGGCGGCCTACGGCAAAGGAGCTTTTGAAGCACCGCTTTATCCGCTCGGCTGGCAAGGTTGAGTCCATGCAGGAGCTTGTGGAGCGGCGGCGCATGTTTGATGCCGACCAGCAGCACCGCGTCTCCCACCCTGTCTACTACCAGGAGACGCTCAACTCCCTGGCACCAAAAGACGATGCCGACGACTGGGTATTCGATACGGTCAAGTCTGTCGCTCCCGCACGGCGCACGATCCGGTCGCGGAGGACGTCGGCACTATACGCTACAGAAGAGCTCATGCGCAAGCTGGACGTCAAGGACGGGCCGTTGCAGCCCAGCTCGCCTACTGCTACGGGCACCGTTCGTCGCACTGGTACGGCCCGGCGCATACCGTCCAATGTGTCTACTGGCTCACCGCGGCGCACGTCTCTCGTCTCCAGCGGGGTTCCTGCCATTCAGCCAAAACGGCCACTCCAGCCAGACATGTCTTTCGGCAACAGCGGCTCCACCATGCGTCTCTTCCGCCGCGTTCCCTCCGATGGCTCAAACAGCAGCCAGATGGGATCATCCGAGCCTCCGTCCCCCGACTCTGTCTCCACCGCGACCACCATAACGACCAACGAGAACCTGCCACCACAAGCCTTGTCGCAGCCGAGCTACTCATCATCGGAGCTGTCAAGCAAGGAAGCCACTCTCGGCCACCGCCTCTTCACAAAGATTGTCGACCCCACGATGGGTGAACTACACGCGCAGACTTCCACGCTACAGAAGCGCGAGGCGCTTGCCAAGCTGTCCGACGCATTTGCCGTTTTGGATGCGGTGGACCCAGAGGGTGCATACCATTTCATGAAGAGCATGATGGCGGGCGTCGCAAACGACTCGCGCCTGAGCAACGCCTTCCTCCCGCAGCAGTTTCAGCAACCTGTTTCCAAGACACCTCAGGATGGCACACCGCAGGGCACCGTTGTAATCAAGAACGGCAACAGCAACCCAACCGTCCAGTCTAACAACATTGTGCCCCCGCCGGCTCCGACAAAGCTGATCCTTAGTCAGGCCAACCCGCATTTGAAGAGCCACAGGCGGCGGAACGGCAGCATTGTTCAAGCTGACACTCCGGTACTTGACAAGCGGCCCGAGAGAGACCTGCGTGAAATGGAGAAAGCGCTGTTGCAATCCAAGTTCCCGGGACGCGAAGCGACCCCAGGTATGGAGCACTCGAAGCAGCTTTCCGACGTTCTCTACCGACGATGGGCCGAGGGGCTCCGCCGGCGCTGGCCGGCTGTCTGAGCAAGACAGTTGGCTGTGTACAAACATGTACAAACATGTACAAACATGTAACATACGAAAGTTGGGAGGACCATTTGATTTCAGCTGTTGATGTTTGTGGCTTATTTTCGTTTTCTTGTTCCCGCGAGTTCTTGTTTTGCCTTCCAACCTGTTGCCTATTTATTTTCTTCTCTTCTTTTTTCTTTTTTACTATTTTTATTGTCCAGCATCGCATCTGTTGCGTTGGCATTTTTGGTCTTGCATTGTCGTCATGGCGCTGGGAAATGGACTTCGTTCTTGTACTGTCTCTTTCGATTTTTGATTTAACTGCGATCTGCATATAGTTCATCGAGTTGATTTTGTTAATATATACCGTCTTCAACCAAAATAGATGTGCATATAAAACTGTGGTATCAATCATATCGTAATAAAAATAGCCAACTCGTCACGAAACTGCCAATGCGGTAATTTTTAAGTTGTTATCACAATGCCGTACCTTCTCAACTGCCTCGATCCTCGCCGCTTGGCCCAGGATCTGGCGCGGACCGGTCTTCCGTGGCACCGCTCGTCGTGTCTGCACCGAGTGCTAGCTTGATACGCCAGTTGAGAAACGAGTCTGGTAAAATGTTCCCGTGGCCCGTCTCTTCCACCTGGAACACCTCGATCTCGGGTGAACCCGGTCGCCGCCGGATTCGCCACACGCCGTCGCTGCCGCTGTTCGGCTCGCTCTCGTCCTTGCCCACCCCGAACACGGACTGGCGCAGCCACTCCAGAAACGCCGACGCGAAATTGATGCACGTGTCGCCGTCCCACGGTGGCGCTGGTCTCTGTTGCTGGCGTGCCCGCTGGACGACGGTCCCCGGGATGCCCTCGGTCGAAATCTCTTCGAGCCGCACCAGCCGGCCCTGTCGGCTCCGGAACCCGACAACAATCGTGGGCACGCCCAGCAAGAACGACTGGATCCAAAACTTGAGCAGCTTGCGCTCAAACGCCTCGAGGTCCCGGTCGCTCTGGATGTCCTGGCTGGTCTTGAGCTCGACCCAGCGGATGGGCTGCCCCTGCGTGGGCGGCTTGGCGTCCCAGACCGCGTCGACCTCGCCGCCCAGGCACAGAATGGTGCTGCCAATGCCCGTGCGGACGACGGAGCAGTACTGGGCCTTGTTGCTGACAATCTGGTCGTCGCGGGCCTCGATCTCGTCGCGGGAGACCTCGCCCCAGGGCCGCGGCAACGTAGCCAGCGCCTCGAATTTGTAGCCTGAGCGTGTGAGTGCGATACGACGACTGACGAATGACGAATGGAAACAAAAGACAAGTACGCACCCCAGTAGGACATGACGTTCGGCGGGAACCACGGCCGGTCAGGGTGTTGCCTTGGTGGTGGCCGGTTCTGGCGGGACTCCTGCTCGCGACGCGATTTCACCTTGTACTCATGATTTTCTTCAATGAAGCTGCCAAACTGTCAGATAAAAAAATTGTGCAATACATTTAAAACAGAATCACTACTCACATGCATCCCTTCCATAAGGCAAAATGGTTAGTATAGGCCACGATAATGCAAACGTGTCATAAATATGCAAAAGCTCACCTGGTAGAGGGTGGCATTCATCTCGAAACTGATGCCTGTCAGTACATTCCATATAGTTCAGAAAATCAAGTAAAGAGTGTTCTGATTCTCATTCCTTACCCGTCCCGGTCGTCATATGGAGCGGCCAAAATCTAAACATCTTCGTCAGCAAGCGCTCTCTACGGTAGAAAAAGAATGGCTGACGTACCTTGGTCATCATGCCGCGCCACGTCAATACGTGCGCGTCAATCTTTGTCTGTGTCTTCTGCTCATGTGCCGCCACCGACGCCAACAGGCTGTCGAGATGCTCGTCAACGCCGTCGTCATCGAGCTTGTCAAAGGTCTCGAAACCGCGCGACAGGTCTGCCTGCGGAAATTGCGGTGGGTAGTACCAGCGCAGAGACCGGTCGTCCAGGTGCAGCTTGTGGTCATCGTCGTACGAGAAGCAGGTGAATTCCTGCCATACGTTAGCCCGGTGACCAAGCAACGCACGTAGGCTCAGGACAGCTCACCTTGGGCCGGCGCATCGGCTGGCTTTGGCCGTGGAAGCGGGAGATGGGGTGGACGGCGAAGCTGGCCATGGCTCGCCGGGGGTGGAAGACGGCGTCGAATGGAGCACAGACGTGAAACAGGTGGGAGGCAGGGAGATTCCGCAAAAAAGTAGGGTTACGCTGGCTTAGTGAATGAGTCGAGGCCTTCGCATCGTGTGCTGTTCTTTGTTGTGGTCCAAGCCGGATTAGCGTATGTGAACTGAGCTCCAGGGAGCTTTAGACGCTAGACCGCGTGTCGGGCGCATTCCTGTTGTGGTCGTACAGCAGTGTATATTTGATGACTAATCTCTTACTCATATTTTTGCTGTTTAAAGGAGTCGTCAACATGAGGTGGAAAAGGGTCACAACAAAACAAACGCAAACTAAAAATATATATGGGGATGGTCATGAAAAACTACTCATGGGATCCAGAATATTTTCAGATACTTGGGAGCTATTTACAAGGAGCTCACGGCTGAGTTTTTCTGAGCCTGAGAAAAGAAAAGCCGAAAAAATGTCGATGAAATGCAATGATTATATCCGTATCCAGACTACATAGAAACTACCTGTCTTTTGATGGAAAGTCAATTCACCGATAAGCATATTCTCAATAAACCGAAAAATGTAAAGCAAGGAAACAGCCTAGATCTACTGAGGAATTGGAAGCCACATTACGCCGTGGTGTCATTTGGTGTCGCTTGATGCTGCTGATATAAGTGCCAAATCACTGCACGTGACATATCAAAACGACCCACTTTTCGGTTCAATGCCGTCTTCCTACAGGCCAGCTTTTCGCGACTGTATTTTTTCACGACCAGAAAAAGTCCGCCGTTTGGTACGACGTCTTGACGACACCTCATCCGGCCGGGTCGTTTCGTCAGCCATTGTCCTCGCGCACGACACCTGGCGCACGCGCACATCCACCCGATACACAATGGCCAGCGTATGGGGCATCGCCCGCACGGCGGGTCGGCACGCCACAGCGCGATTACGGCCTGCGACGACAACGACCTTCTCTCACAATAGCTTCGGCCGCTGCGCATCGCGCCATGCCTCTTCCTCACAATCACAACCGCCGTCCTCTACAGTAGCACCGTCAGACCCGGTGTTCGAAGACCTCGAGCTTGACTCGTCGTTCCTGACTCCCGAGCAGCCCGAGACAGCGAATATGCTGCCGCCCCGCGAGCGCGCCAAGCAGCGGACATCACGGCTACCGGGATCCAGGTAAGCTTCTCTTTCGGTCCTCGCGTCGCTCTCAGGCGCCCATGTGCTCTATTGTGCAAGCTCTCGTGTTCGCATACTGACCGTCAGATACCAATTCCATCCACCCAAGTACGACCGCGGCCCGCTGCACCCCATCCAGTCGCCCGCGTCGTCCGACCCCACTGCGCGTGACTTTGTTCCGGGGCCGTTCCACATGAACCGCATCCGCCAGACCTACAACACCACCATCGCGTCCGACCTCATGACCCTCACGTACATGCACGTCCCCCCGGGCACCGAGAAAGTCCCGACCCCGCAGCGCCTGCGCAGCTGGGACGGCTCGTCCCCTTACCACAAGAACCGGCCCCTGCGCGGCCCCCGCGGCGACCCCGTGCTGCGCCCGCTGGAGAAGCCCATTACGTTCCGCAACATCCCCGAGCTCCGGTCCATCACGCTCGCTGCCTTTGTGCCGCAGGCGGCCAAGGAACCGGATCGGCTGATTGTGGCACGCATGGTGACGCAGGCCATCACGGGCGTCGTGCCGACGGTGACGACGGTCAAACACAACGTGTCGCAGTGGGGCATTATCAAAGGCCAAAAGGCCGGCGTCAAGGTGACGCTGTACGGCAACGAGGCGTACGACTTTTTGGACAAGTGCATCCACCTGGTGCTGCCGCGGATCAAGGACTGGCAGGGCGTCAAGGGCAGCACGGGCGACAGCGCGGGCAACCTGGCGTGGGGTCTGTCGGGCGAGGCCACGGCGCTGTTCCCCGAGATCGAGGCCAACTACTCCATGTACCCGGCCAAGATGATTCCTGGCTACCGCATCTTTGTGGAGACGACGGCCAAGTCGGACCGGCATGCGCGCCTGCTGCTGGGCTCGTTCGGCCTGCCCTTCGTCGGCGAGCTGCGCGACTAGACGGGACAATGGAGAAATAGGGTGTTGTGTGTTGTGGGACACTCAAACGGTAGCTGTACATTATATGATGTTTTATATACTCTGCATATCTTCATTTCTATAAAAAAGGCTTGTATGTATGTTACGGAGCACTGTACAAGTGCAATGTATGCTTTGTCCGCTTATGAATTTGTACGTTGTTTATTGCAAATGTATATAGTAAATGCATATATGCTCAATAGCAGAAACTGCCCACCAATGGCAACGTGGTTTTATGAACGTTGCGTTTGACGCCTAACGCCAGTGTCATGCAATTAAAATGGGATAACGGAAACGAAATAAAGCAACATATCATAATGAAGCGCGCAGATGGGCCCGGACTCAGCTCACGCTGCAGCCTCGGCTGTGGCCACGTCCGCCTTGAGAACGTCAATCACCTCGTCGACGGCGTCCATGTTGCCGGCGTCCACCTTGGTCGGCAGAGCTGCCAGGCCCGCTGGGATGGGCACCCTGGTGGCTTCGTCCGTATTGGCGGCCAGCGCGGCCAGTGCCGTCAGCGCGGCGTCCATGGCCGGCTGGTAGTTGCGGCAGGCCGAGCTCAGCGCATACACGGCTTTGCGGCGCACGGCGGGCGACTCGTTGCCGTTGGCGGCCGACTTGGCCAGCAGCGGCACGCCGTTGACGGCCAGGAACCGCTCCTGGCTCGGCTGGTTGTTCTGGACGGCCGTGCCGATGCACCACGCGGCCATGCGCCGCAGCTCGGGCTCCGGGCTTGACTCGAGCACGCCAATCAGCGGCGTCCACAGGCCCAGGCTGCTCATGAGGTTGGCATTGTCGAGCGACTCGACGAGCTGCTCAAAGTTGTCGAATGCGACGAGCTTGTTCTCAAGCGTGTTCTCGGGGCTGTCCTCGGTGCTGACGATGATGGCCATGGAGGCCTTCATGAGGTCGGCATCGGAGGGGCCGCCGAACAGAGAGGCCAGGACCTCGGGGTTGAGGCCGTGGTTGGTCGGGGGCGCGGCCTCCGCGGCAGACGGGTCGTTGGGGTTGGTCGAGGAGTTCTCGATGCCCCACTTGAGGAGCTCATTGAGGCCCTTGTCCATTGTGTACGTGATTCGTTTGTGTTGAGAGTCTAGGAGGAGGCGTGATAGACGTGAAAGTGGGCGTGACAGCAGAGACGGACAGGAGCAGAAGCAAGGAATGGCCGTTGCCCTGCCGGTTTTGTCGTTTCTTTTATGAGATGCGATTCATGATGCGGCCACATTTTTTCTTTGCTTGAAGCTTCTTTTCCATTCTAGGAAAGTTCACGAAGGTTCTATACCAAAAACGGTTAGCGTGACTTTCACGTGAACGGTGGGCCGCAAAGACCCCACAATACATTGTGTGGCATACTACAACATACAACATACAACCACTAAATATGTGAGAGATACAGCCTTCTAGAAGACGTGTGACAGATTTTTCATGATGTTTGTGTGGCTGAGACAGGGAAAGACAATGTGCGGTTTCTCTAAAAATAATAAGTAATATCCCGGATGGCTCCTGTTGCTGTCGCATACCGCCATATCACATTCCTGCTGGAACATTGGCGGCAAATCATAAATGTCCGCCGGCCATTTGAATTGGCTGTTGCCTTGCATTAGGGCTTTTGGACCGGCCCAGACGAACTACAACCAACAGGATTGTTCGCTTTTCATATGCACACTGACGTTGTGGTGTGGTGTTGGATGGTTAATTATGGAAACATTTGAGCAACAAACGCAAAGAGTACAGGGCACACAATTAGTCATGAAATACAAGAACATCCAGAAATTTACCTGCCTGGATGGGTCTGCTCCATTTCTGTTTTGAAGGGATAGAAACCAATAACACGAACTGGGATAAATCCTGCTGCCTCCTTTTGGTATTTAGATCACATCGTCTTGGGCCATCAAGTAATTTTGGTGCCTATGCAACGGCAGCGCACGGATTACGGGTATGGTCTGGTCTGTGATCTGGCCGGGGTTTGTGGTTCGTGGATATGGCAAACTGTCTGTAATCTGGAGAAGCCCGCTACTGTGCGGGAGTGGTTCTGCTAAGGCACGCTTCCCGATAGACTGGACCGGACTAGACATTGCGAGCCTCTCGTGGTCTCATGGGTACTTGTCCGAATGACTGCTGGAGGCTGGAAAAGCCTCGCCTGCCAGGAGCCTTGAGTACGCTGTCAAGTCAGAAAACAAAAGGGAGGCTGTGCCGGTGTGTGATGGTGGGCTTTTCTGCGCTGATGCTGTGGCTTGCTTGGCCCTCCTTGACATGTACGCGTGAGACTTACTCTGTGTGCTGTATTTTGTATTTCGTATTCTGAGGGCAATTCCCCTCCAATCTTTGGAAGCCCGTAAACTGTTATCATTAAACTCAGAAAACTCGCCTGCAAGCATGCATACGTCAGCGCTTGGCCGCAGCTGAGCAGACGAAGAGTGAGAGCGTGACGGCCTTCTGAATGGTCCGGTGCCAACGTGTGAGCGGCGTCGTGCTCCATCGGCTCTTCACTCGGTCGTTTTGTTCTATTTTCACTAAAGTTCATTTTGTTTGTCGTCGCCTGCTCCGAGCGTCGCCGGCCCGGTTTGACGAGGAAGGAGAACCAGAGGCAGCCGTATTCTTGCTCCTGCCACTTGTGCGCCCGCGCCAGTCAGTGGCCAGGGCAGAGCAACGCCAAAGTGGGGCCACATTGGGAGCCACACAGTTTGAATTGAGACAGTGTTTACACAGCCCAGTGCGATAAGCACTGGTGTTGAAGATTGGGCGGCGCGCCTCAGAATTAAATACGGCAGCCTGGTCGTCTGTGTCCGAGGAACATTTCCAGAACACCCAGAGCATAACAACCAACCGCGCAGCGCCAATCCCTCCTGTTTCGCATTTCCATTTCCTTTCCAGCCACGAGGCTCCAGCCATGCATTTCAGGTTGTGAGCTCCGGTAGCCTTGTTTGGGCTTTTCCATTCTGCCTGCAGCCCTGACTGACGCCATTCCGGCCGAAGGCTGTGTCGTGTGGTGTTTCATTTGGTGCACCCCTCAAACTTGGTCCGCTTGTTTCCTCATTCTTGTCTTGGCTGATTGTAGTCTCGTTTTGCGGATGCCTAGATGTGCTAATCTGGTGATGTTGCGTTGGTGATTTGATATCAAATGCGGTCGTCCAGCCCTCCACACGTCACAGCACAGTGCGCGCCCGCTAGCCCTGTACAGCCACAGGCCAATGATTAACGCCGTTGTGGATGTCGTAGGCAAGAGCGAAAAAAGGGGAAGGAGGGGCTCAAAACAAGGAGTACCTGCTGGAACCTGTGCACCACCGCCACTTTCAATGTACCTTTTTGAAATACCTCTTGGATAGATAGAGCTTCTCGGCCGACTTTTGAAATGACAGGCACGCCAGCTCGCGAGTTTTGGAAGCAAGATAGTGTGACAGCATCGACGGACAATCCTGCAGGGCTCCTTCTACTCTGGTAGGCTGGTCTCTCTGTATGCCCTCGCCTGTCTCTGTGCTGTGCTGTTTTCTGCTTGCTGCTTGCTGCTTCCAGGCAGGGCCTTTTTTTATTCCACACCTTCCTTCCCTGGTTCTTTGCCCCTCCCCGCCTTTTTCCATCCTGGGACAGAAGCACACGTCGTGCAGATAGCGGTGGCTCCGGCCAGCCAAGCGCACAATCTCGGGCTGCACCTTCCTCCCAGGGCTCACTGCAACCGTTGCCTCGCACTCTGTTGCCGCAGGAATACGCCATACCTCCAGCCAGAGGGCTAACAAGGGCATCCTCAGCCACAAATCGGCCTCACCTATTCCCCTATGTGTGTTTCCTGGGAGCCTATTTGTACTAGACCAAGTAATTCGTATGCCTGCAAGCTAACCACACAACTGCCCCCCCTCTCTCGCGGCTTCCACTAATGGCCACTGCCCCCCTTTCCTTTCGCCCCAACCACCTCCCCTCGCCCTCTCTCACTCCCAATCCCCGCCAAAACCGCCGCCCGTCTTTCATAAAGAACTTCCACCACCCACCCCCCCTTTTTCCCTGAACCTATTCTTGTGTTTCCTTCATCCATCAACAGAAGCTCTCCTTCAGCTTAGTTTCGCTCTTCGCATCATCCTTTTCCGCTCGTCAACGTTCCCATCCTCGCATCCTCCCCTGTTTCTTCCCTCGTCAACACCGTCGCCATGGAAGGTATGTTGATTTCCCGAGATGCTTCGTTTTCGTGCGAGCTTCTTCTGTCTCTTATCTGGCGCTGCTCGGCCTTCGTCTCCCCTCCTCCCATTGCCGGCTCTCGCCATCCCGCCGATGTGTCCTTCGGGAGCATCGAGTGTCGTGAATTTCCTCGTCGCTTTGGGCCTCTCCTTTCCCTTGCCTCTTCTTATCCTCATGCGCAGTTTTTTTGCAGAGTCTCTGCTTGCTCCATTTCCTCCACCGCCTTTTTGTCCCCTGTCCGAGCTCGCCATCTCCACCGAGCCTGCTACCCAAATAGGACGCACATGCTAATGCCAATCCCCTCACAACAGAAGAAGTCGCAGCTCTCGTTATCGACAATGGGTAAGCTACTCTCCCTCTCCGCCTCGTTCCGGGTGCGGTGCCGGGGCTGGGCAATGCTTTCCTCTCCTTTTTTTTTGGCATCGCAGTCCGGCGTTGCGTGCTGCAGGTCGCCCGAAACCCCTCTTCCCAAAACCGATGATGTGGCCGAAGCTAGGGACCCACCGCTAGAGGAAATGAGGAGGCGGGCGCGCCCTAAATGCAAAAGCTACACCATAAAGCAACCACGCGCAGGCTATGCTTGTCTTGTCCCTCGTGTTTCGGCCGCTTCATCGTCGCCGACAACTGCAACAGCGAGAAAGTGTTTGTTTCCTGTCATGCGTTCCCCATGCTAACGTCTCTTCAGTTCGGGTATGTGCAAGGCCGGTTTCGCCGGTGATGATGCGCCCCGTGCCGTTTTCCGTAAGTAATCACCCTCCCACAAATTGCCATCCGTCATTTTTTGCATCTTGCCCCGTAAAGCGTCAATTTGCGAGCTGCGTCCGGCGGATCCGGAGCACAGCTCTGCTGGCTGGACGGTACATCGGGGCAAGACAAGCCAAAAAATGAGGGGCGAGGCGGGTAATTTTGTTACAACCGCAACATGCGCGGGCATCAGGAACGCAACACTGACCGCCTGCAGCGTCCATTGTCGGTCGGCCCCGTCACCATGGTATCATGATCGGTATGGGCCAGAAGGACTCGTACGTTGGTGATGAGGCACAGTCGAAGCGTGGTATCCTGACCCTGCGGTACCCCATCGAGCACGGTGTCGTCACCAACTGGGACGACATGGAGAAGATCTGGCACCACACCTTTTACAACGAGCTGCGTGTTGCCCCTGAGGAGCACCCCATCCTGCTCACTGAGGCCCCCATCAACCCCAAGTCCAACCGTGAGAAGATGACCCAGATCGTTTTCGAGACCTTCAACGCCCCCGCCTTCTACGTCAACATCCAGGCCGTGCTGTCCCTGTACGCCTCCGGTCGTACCACCGGTATCGTTCTGGACTCTGGCGACGGTGTCACCCACGTTGTCCCCATCTACGAGGGTTTCGCGCTGCCCCACGCCATTGCCCGTGTCGACATGGCTGGCCGTGACTTGACCGACTACCTGATGAAGATTCTGGCCGAGCGCGGCTACTCCTTCTCCACCACGGCCGAGCGTGAAATCGTCCGTGACATCAAGGAGAAGCTCTGCTACGTCGCCCTTGACTTTGAGCAGGAGATCCAGACCGCCGCGCAGAGCTCCTCGCTGGAGAAGTCGTACGAGCTGCCCGACGGCCAGGTCATTACCATTGGCAACGAGCGCTTCCGCGCCCCCGAGGCTCTGTTCCAGCCCTCTGTCCTGGGTCTGGAGAACGGCGGTATCCACGTGACCACCTTCAACTCCATCATGAAGTGCGATGTCGACGTCCGCAAGGACCTGTACGGCAACATTGTCATGGTAAGTAGCGAGAATGACAGAATGACAGAATAACGGGAGAAAGAAGAGAATGGACGAGCGTGGGTCACGTCGTGGAATGCGCCCCTATAATATGCTAACCCGTCCTTCCAGTCTGGTGGTACCACCATGTACCCGGGTCTGTCCGACCGTATGCAGAAGGAGATCACTGCCCTGGCCCCCTCGTCGATGAAGGTCAAGATCATTGCGCCCCCCGAGCGCAAGTACTCCGTCTGGATCGGTGGTTCCATTCTGGCGTCGCTGTCCACCTTCCAGCAGATGTGGATCTCGAAGCAGGAGTACGACGAGAGCGGTCCCTCGATCGTTCACCGCAAGTGCTTCTAAGCGACGTACGAGGACACGCGGAAGATGCGGCTCTTGTGTATCGGGTTCCCCACGCGAGCCCCAGTCGAAGCAGACGAGGCGACGAATTTGGAATGCCTGTGTTGGCGCCGCTACTACGACGACGACCGCAACGGCCAGCTGTCCACCGACCCGGTCCCGACCATCGTTGTCCCGGCAGCACCTACGCCAGCCTTCTGATTTCTACACTCGTGTCGCTTATGCGGGGGCTTGTTTCGCCGTTGCAGCCGAGATCCGGCGCCCGTTTGCTTTTTTGCAGGAGTACCTAGGTTGTCGTTTGGCCAGAGTTTGATTCTTCTCTTTTATCTCTTGTTTTGGGAGGGAGGGAGTAGGACGCGGGAGTCAGGCACACAGTGGTGGGGCAAAGGAAGACTGGCGAGCAGCGGTTGGAAGTCAAGCTGGAAGGAACACCGCAAAGCAAGATCCAAACGATTCCAAAACTAAAAACCAAAAACACATTTTTCTCGCGGAGGTTGATTATACGAATTCACTTTTTTTATACAATGGTTTTTTCCCCTTCTGTTTCTCACAAGGCTTGCGGTTGTTGTCGGTTGCTTTCCCTGCTGCCTTAGCTTTTTTTATGATTGAGACGGGCGGTTGACATTGACGCGAGTTTTGCGGTTATTTATTTCTTTTTGATGCCGTCTAGCTTCCCGTCTCTTGTGACTGCACGTGGAATGTTGTGTATTCGTAGACATTGTCATTATATGTTTCAAGTTGCCTGTCACTGGTCTGACCCTGCGTTCTCCTTTGACCTAGGTAACCGATCGCCTTCGACATTTCTTGCGTCATCAGTAGCCACTTCGCTCGAATCGCGAGCAGAGCCGTTCATAGACTTGTTCTCTGGCTCTGGCTTTGCCAATGTTTCGTTCGTCTCTTCTCCTTTTTCAATTGCTGCTCTCTCGTCTTCTGCACCTTCTTCGCCCTCCACCGCGCCAGCCTTCGCCGCCTCCTCCTCCAGCTTCCGATACTTGCGTCGCGCCTTTTTTGTCGCGTTGGCCTTCTTCTTCTGCTTCGCGGCCGCCACGACGGCTGTCCGGCTCTCTGTGCCGTTGGCCAGCTCGTCCAGCCGCGCGGCGAGCAATGACCGCGCAATCGCCCGGTTTTCCGTGCGCGACCGCGTCGCCTGCGACTTGACCACAAGGCCCGTCGGCTTGTGCCGGAGTTGCACGGCCGAGTTTGTTTTGTTCTACACGCGGACGCAGCAGCCGGTCAGTATATGTCAGTCACAAAACTATTCCTTACAAAAGAAACACTGTACAAATCGTACAATCTTTTGACCGCCGGGCCCGGTCCCTTTGACAAACATCTCGTCGATTTCGTCTTCCGGGGGTGGCTTGGGCCGCGACGGCATTTGCTTTTTAGCTGCGTATGCCGAGACAGAGAAGGGCCGGACCGCCGACGGCGATGGACCGGCCGTACGCCATGGCCATAGTGCTTGGCACGCTGTGGCGGTATATTGTGAACGTCGAGATGTGCCAAAATGACATGAGCGCCAACACGAGAGTGAGATGAGAGGGCGCATTGTAGGTTGAGGACGTACAAAAGCTTTTCAAAGCTGCAGACGAGTATTGCACGCTGAAATGTAAACAAGTATACAAGGCATTGCTCTTGCTCCGATTTGTTGCTCAATGCATGGCAGCTCAAGTTGTTTCAAAGGACAAGCCCGTGATGAGTACGATTTACAGTCGTGCAGTGATGCGCCTGTGCTTAGCGACAACGTTATACTGAATGGCCGTGTTCCTCAGGTGTGTCTTAGCACGGACAGGGGATGTGGTGGTTTGACGACTTTTGACGATTGGCACGTGACCGGAAATTTTAATTGAAAATATTTCAACGGGGCTGCCAGTCAGAGGGAAAGATGGTTTCAGAGCCTGCGCGCCACTGGCCAACGCCTGCAGGACCCCTGACTATCCAATGGGGCGCCGCGGTTTCCCGTTTCCCTGTGGCGCGTCCCAGTGGCCGGGCATCCGGAAATGGCAGCCTTTCTCGTCCCTTTTTCGCAATCAACACTGTTCTGCCTCTTCTCTTTTCTCGACAACGCTCACGATCACGAATTGCCATTGCCTGCGCTCCGACAGTATATCTTCCATCTCTACCGCCGACCACTCGTCAAATCCATTCTTCGCGCCTCCACACCGGCCCTTTGCCCATACTGCGTCCGGGTGAACTCGTGCCTCTTTGCCCATTGACGGACGACCCCTTTTTGATAATCGAATATCTCACCGTCTTCACCACCGCCATCATGTCGCCCCTCGAGCGCTTCAGCAAATGGGTCCAGCTCAAGATCTACCAGTTTGAGGTCACCTACAGCGTCTACATGCTGACACCCACGGAGAAGTTCTTTGTCTGTACGTTTTGTCTCCTCTCTTTTGTCCTCGCTCCGCTCGCTTCTTTATGCCCTTGCTGCGCTCGTTCATATACCCCCGTTCTCCATCATTCGCTCTTTGCTAACTCGTCAGACTCCCTCCTCTTCCTCCTCACGAGCCTGACCTCCATCGCCATCTTCCTCTACCTCCCCCACCACGTCGCCTTCCTGATCAACCGCGCCTGGTTCTACGCCCACGGTGACAGCCAGTTTGACGCAGCCCAGAGCCTACTGCAGGGCGTGGTCGTAGCAGAAAAGGCCGGCACCACGGCTGCCGTGCAAGTTACCACGACTGTCGAGAGCCTCGCCGACGCCGCTGCGACGGTCGTGCGGGAGCTGTAGGCGGGAGGTAGACGGTGACGACAAATGGTGATGGCAGTCGGTGATGACAACCGGCACCGATGCGCTTGTTCCGCTGATCAAGCACTTTATATTTATTTCTCTTTTTTGTTTCTTTTTCGTTGTATTACGGCGTTTGGAGGGGACGACATTACGGGACGGGTTGGCCGCGCATTTGGCTACTGGGAACCACAAGCAAACAAGCAACAAGCAACGCGCAACATACAACATGCATACGGCGTACAAAGACTCTATAATCACAGACGTTTTACGTTCTAGGAGCGAGGAAGCGGACGACATTGGATAGGACGGGCGACGCCCTCATTGTACTCATTGTACTCATTGTACCCATACGTACATACATATAACCTTAATCAATAATGCTCACACAATATAGACTTTTCCATTATCTTTTGATGCCCTCTATTGTTTGCTTTTGCCAATGTGTCCATGTCCGTGACGCCTGTTGTATAAAAATGACCCAATGCAAAGAAAGAGACGGCAGTAGGCTAGACCCCGGCTATATGATACACACGCAGAGATGCATCCTCGCCAGCAACCGCCAGGTCGGCACCGGTTTCGGCGTTGGTTTCGCTTCCGCTATCAATTGAGCTGGTGGTCGTCGGCGGCCGCCAGGCCAGCTGCAAGACCGCCCGTGGCAGGCACAGAGTGGCATCGAATGCCACAGCCGCCGTTACAGCCAGCGTGTGCGCGTCCAGCGACACAATCGAGAGGCGACCAGCTTCCGTGCCGATGGCCAATGCCAATGTGGACGTCGACGAGGTTGCGGTTGTGGTCGTGGTCGGCCGCCACAGGAAATCAACCGCCGTGACGGGGTGTTCCTGTGGGATCGTCGTGGCGAGGGCAAAGGACAAGGATCGGCCCGTCTCACCGTCGCTGGAGGCCCACACTTTGACATTTTTGTCGCGGCCGGCCGTGGCAAAGACGCTGTGGCCGTTTCTGTGGCCGGTTGCATTGGAGGTGGAGGGAACGGGCGGTACCCATGCACAGTCGAGAACCATGCGCGTGTGCGCCTTGCTGTTGTTTTGGAGAAGGGTGTAGGTGGCGGGGGTGTCGCCCTTTTCTTTTTGTTCGTCTCCGTCCCCTCCCGCCGCCGACGACGGCTGTCTCTCGAAAACGGCCCACTGCCGGTCGCGACCCACACTCAGCAGGTACCGGTCGTCGGCACTGAACCGCAGCCGCGTCACCGTCAGCGTGTGCGTGGCCAGCGGCGGCCGCACCTCGGTCCACCGCGGAGCCGTCTCAAACAGGCGCACAACGGCGTGGTTGAGCGAGCTGGCGCGGCACGCACTGGCCACCAGCCGGCCGTCGTGGCTGACGGCCAGGCAGCTGATCTCGTAACCGTGGCCGTACAGCTTCTCGGTCTCGGGCCAGAGCGTGTTGCGCGCCAGAACATCCTCGGGGGGTGGGCCGTCGCCAGCGGCGGCGTCGCCGGTAGTAGCGTTGGTGTCTTCGGCACGTGCCTCGCTGTCGACCACCACCTCCTCATCCACGGCCTTGTTGGACAGGCCGAGCACGGGCATGTTGGCGGCGTCAGGCAGCGCGTCCACACCCGTCTCGCCGTCACCACTCGACCGCCCCGTCAGCCGCGCCAACAAGCGTGCCACCGTCTTGGGCTCGTGGAACACGCGCATCAGCTTCTCGTCGGCGCCCGACACAAACTGCGAGGCGCCCAGGCTGTCGATGCAGTTGAGGTCGTAGCCGTGAATCTGCGGGCGGGCCATTTCGTGCCAGGAGCCGAGGGACGAGGCGGACAGCGACGGCGACGGCTTCGTCCACGCGGCGTGCAGCCGCGTCGTCTGGTCGCCGCTCGTCGACAGCAGGTAGGCACCGTCGCGCGACCATGCCACGCCCGTCACGGGCGCCACGTGGCCGGCCACGCCGACGGCCTGGATCCATCGTGCGTCCTCGTCTTTCTTGTCCTCGTCTTTTTTGTCCTCGGCCGGCGCCTCGCTTTTGTCCTCGCCGGCCGCGCGAGACGTCGTGGCAAGAGTCCACCGGCGCCAACTCCCTGTCCGGCACAGCGTCACCACCTCTTTCCCATCCGGCGACCACAGTCCCGCCCAGAAGCCGCCCACACTGCCTGTCGCCGTCGTGGCGCCCTTTTCCTTGCTCAGCTCACCCAGCCGTGCTGTCGTGACCCAGATGCCCGACGCCGCGTCGGCCTCCCAAACTGCCAGTGAGTTGTCTGCCGAGGCCGTCAGCAGGCGCAGGGGCTTGCTGCCCTTGGTGTCCTTGTTGTCCTCGCTGCCGCTCGATGCTGTCCACCGCGCACTGTAGATCCAGTCCTCATGCCCCAACAAGAGCGCCTCAAATGTCACCGAGTACTCGTCGCCGTCGTCGTCACCACCGGCTCGCACCCGGTGTGCCTTGTTGGAGGGTGCGTTGCTGCTGCCGCCCTTGCCGTGCACTGGGACACCGGCGGTCGGCGCCTCGTCGCCCACCGCTGCGGCTGCCGCCGTGGCCGAGGCCGTCGGTGGTGGCACGACTGCGCCCTTGTGGATGCGCCACAGCCGCACATAATTGTCCTGGCTGGCCGACGCCAGCAGCAGGTCCGATGCAATCGACACGCCCTCCCAGCCAAAGTCCAGCGACCGGACCCAGCCCTCGTGGCCAGTGAGGCTGGCTTGCAGTGCGAAGGCGACGCCAGATTCTGTGCTGGCCGTGCCTGCCTCTGCTTCTGTGCTCGTGCTCGTGCTCGTTCTCGTGCTTGTCGCCGTCTCGGAGCCGCCAAAGATCTGAATGCGGTTGTTGGTGCCAGCGGCAGCGAGCAGCCACGACTGCGACCCTCCCGCTCCGGTGCCGTCCGTCAGTGCCACCAGAGCCAGACACAGGGGAAAGTACCGCGGCGCCGTCTGGATCGTCTGCAGGAGAACAATCTGTAAAGGCGGCTCGCTGCTGGCATCGCCGCCGCCGCCTGTCCTCCGCTCCAGCGCCCAGATCTTGATCTTGTAGTCGGCACCGCCCGTGGCAAAGATCTGCCGGCCGTGCTCCGTCGGTTGCCCTGCCTTGGTAGCCGCAATGCAGTTTATAGGCGCCGCGTGAGATTCCTCAATCGTCTGCACACACTGTGGCGTCGCTCTTCGGCTGGTCGTGTCGGAAGGCACGGCCCACAGCTTCAGCGCCTTGTCGTCGCCGCCGCTGACAAAGTAGGACCGGCCGTCTTCGCTGTCCACTGCCAAGTGCTGCACTGCCTTTATTTCGCTGCCGTGTCCTCCAAGCAAATGGGCCACGCCGTTGGCATCTGCCGGCCGCCACACGGCCAGGTTCACGCCTGCACCGTAGCACAGCGTGCCGTCGGCGCCCCAGTCGGCGGCGGCCGTCTGCCGGTTGGCCCCAGCAGCCAAATAGGCCGTGCTGACGGCCATGGGGGCGTATGAGATGCGGAAAATATAAAATATAAAAAAAAAAGTGGTTTGATTAAAGGGGCGTCGAGAGTACTGCTTTACAGCCTTGTTGGGGAAGGAGCGATGGGTCGATGAGTGACGATGAAAAAGTGAACAAGGCCTGTGATCTGATTGGCTGGAGCTCAATTTGGCAGGTGCGCCTTGCAGCTATTTGTGACAGCAGGTGCCATCCAACATCAGCAGCGAACAGTGCCCCACAGCCTAAAAGTCAACTCAACCTCCAACGTTGGTCCAACGTTCATCCAAGGCTCAACTCAGCATCCTCTTTTTGCATCCAATCATACACTCTCTCATAATGTCGGCCCCTACCGGCGAAACGATTCCCATTGTCGTCGAGTTCTCGTGAGCTCCCCCCGCCCTTCCCCTTTCCCCTTCTCCGTTTCCATGTCTGTTCACCATTCTCTAACCACAAGCAGAGGCGGCCTTGAAATGTTGTTCGCCGACCAGAAGCGGCTCGACATGCAGCTGCCCGTACTGGACACCCAGGGCCAGCCCGCCACGGTCGGCTTCCTCATCTCGCACCTCTGCGCGACGGCAATGTCCGACGGCCGCAAGGACCTGTTTGTTCTCGAGGCAGACCACCTGCGGCCGGGCATCTTGGTGCTCATCAATGATGCCGACTGGGAACTTGAGGGCGAGGAAGCCTATGAGGTCCAGCGCGGCGACAACATTCTGTTTGTGTCCACGCTGCACGGGGGCTAAGCGGACCGAGTGTCTTACAAAGACAGATACCAACAATCAACGCCGCACAATGGACAGTGTACAATGCTACACGCGCCGCGACGACCAATGGTAGCAGGGGCAGGAAAGCATTCCTGTCACCGACGGACGCTGCTCACTGAGCAAAACGCCCATTTGTGGTCTATGGACAAAACAGCCGCGCACAGCCTGGACAGTTGTAGTGCTGTTCGGTCGATGTGTTATGACGCCAGTTGTATAGCCAGAGCAAAGATGGCTACAACAATTTATCTCCGCAGCTACCTGTCTCTTGTCTATATCTGGGCCTTGGGAATCGTTTCCCGTCCTTCTTGCGTTTGCGGAGTTCGCGGTTTGGTAAACGGGTGCCAGCGGCGACTACGTCCACGGTGATGGGAACGGGAAAAAGCAATCTAATGGTGTCCATGGGAGGTGGATGGCAGATTGTTGGAGCATTGGTGGACCGCGGATGTGAGTGTGGGAGGAAATTGTTGAAGAGGACCGCATACCCCAGATGAAAAGGCGAGACAGCAGCACAGAAAACCGGTGAAGAATCTAGACGCATCGAGATGGGCAGGACACAATTGCATGAAACATTATGATGCGCAACAAACACACTTCTGCGATGACTGTCTGGATTCTGCTCGGACCTCATCTCCAATTGATTGAGTGTTGCGTTTGTACTTTGTTGTCGATCTCATGCATGTCATCAAATGCACTTTTATATGCACTATTAAATGCACTTCAGCTGACAGTGCACACCGCTGCTTTGACGACCCTCGATGCAACGAAATTTTGTGGCGTCTGCAGCTCGCTGTATCGAGCACTTGATCACCTCCGACTGGTTGTTCTTTCGAATTGTTATCATTGCCGCACTTTTTCAGAGGACGATAGCTAAATGACCCTACTAGACAACTATACAGGCCGACAATACAGACCGACTATGCTACAACGACGCCCGTCTCTCCTACTGTCCCATCTTTGAAAGTCCACGCACGACCAAAGCAATACGTTTTAAGTGGAAAGAGTGAACGAATCCTGAATGTGCGCGTCAATGAGTATCAATAACTACCAACAATGGATAAAAGAAACAAGTTGAAGACAAGAAAAAGAATGAACGCTCGCTCTGACGACTCCAATTCTCCGCCTCTCGTCCGATCCCAAGCCAGTTCAAGGCCAAATCCAGCCTTACACCTTGCACTTTGCCACCTCTTCCTCTTTTACTTGCAGGACGTCCATATTGCTGTGTCTTTCCAAGTAGACCATTCAAATAGTCTGTCGCTGTGATGGTTTTATATGAAATATAGGAAGTGTGCCAAACAAGAGATATCAACATGAAATTCAATCATGAAATGACAAAAATCAAACAAGTCACAAAACAAATAGGCTCCTCGTACAATCGCACATATAAAGTGAACACTATAGCGAAAAGTATAGCAAACAGTATAGCAAACAGTATAGCAAACAAAGCAACAAAAAACAATTCAACGCAGCGCAAACAACATAACAAATTTAAACTTTGTCTTTCAAATCCATGATAGGCCGTAAAACATTCATCGTCCACGTCCACTAGTACACGCCATTGTCAAGGAAACGCATATCCGACGGATGGTGGCTGCCCGGCGGCGGCGGACCGGCGTTGGTGCCCGGCGCGCCAGGACCGCCCGGCTGGTGTGCATTCTGCAGGTGGTGGTGCTGCTGCTGTTGATGCTGCTGGGCGTGGTGCACACCGTAGGCCTGCGGCGGCGGCAGAGAGGGCGTCAGAGACGGCGTCAGAGACGGCGGAAGCGTCGGGATGTGGTGCGGGTGCGGCTGGTAGAGGTTGGACTTTGCCAGCGGCGGGAGAGGCTGTTGTTGGTGGTGGTACATGGCATAGGCAGTCGCAGACTGTTGCTGGTGCTGGTGCTGCTGGTGGTGCTGCTGGTGGTAGGTCGGCTGCGGCTGCGACTGGTGATGCTGGAGATGCTGGTTGGCGGGCGCCGTGGGCACCACCATGCTGTTCATGCTGTAGCTGCCGCTGACGACGGGCGGGGCCAGGCTCTGCTGCTGCTGCTGCTGCTGCTGCTGACTCTGAGTCATCCGAGGCTCGTCGTCGCCACTCTCGTCGTCGTCCTCGTCGTCTTCCCCGTGGTTGCTGCCGTCGCTGCCGGGCGACCGACGCAGGCCGCCGCCGCGAGTTTGCCCAGCCTGCCCAGCCTGCACCGCCTGCACAGATTGCACAGGCCGCACGCGGCGGTGCTTACCGCGGCCCTTGATGCCCTTGTTGCTGTTCTTGTAGAGCCCCGCAAAGTAGCCAAACAGCTCGCGGTCGTCGTCGGTGATGGACGCCTCGACGGCGGCATCGCCGGCCGCGGCGGCGGCAAACTTGGCCGTCAGGGCCTGCAGGGCGCCGGCGTGGTACTTGTTCTGGTGCGCCTTCATGTTGCCGAGCTGCGTGAAGCGCTTGGTGCAGCCCTCGAGGCGGCAGTCGTACGGCTGCAGGCGCAGGTGCGTCTTGTAGTGCGCCTTGAGGTTGCCGCGCTGGGCAAAGTTCTTGCCGCACTTTTCGCAGCAGAACGGCCGCTCGCCCGTGTGGCGGCGCTCGTGCGTGCGCAGGTTGCCGAGCTGCGAAAAGTGGGCCCCGCAGCCCGCGTAGCTGCAGACGTAGGGCTTTTCGCCCGTGTGCGACCGGCGGTGGATGTCGAGGTGCGTCTTCTGCCAAAAGGTCATGCTGCAGCCGGGCAGCGTGCAGGGGTACGGCTTCTTGACGGGCACGACGTCGTCGTTGCTGTTGTTGTTGTTGTCGTCGTTCAAGTAGTGGTTGCTGCTGCTCGAAAGACGATCCTCCTGTCCGGCCTCGTGCGCACCCGTCGGATGCGGACTGGTCGAGGCGCTGTGCCGGTGTTTGCCATACTGTTGCTGCTGCTGCTGCTGCTGTGACGGCGAGCCATACCCGGAAAAGGCATTGATTTGTTGTGCCTGTGCCTGGACCTGGACAGGCAGCGGACCGCTCTGCAGCGGCTCGGCCTCGCCAGCCACGTCGGCCTTGGACTGGATCGTCCGCATCAACAGATCAATCTGCGTCGAAAACGTGGGCCGGAACGACGTGTCCAGAGCAGCGGCCGGGCCTGTCGTGGTCGTGGCTGACGTGGTCGTGGCCGACGCGGTCGTCGCTGGTGTCGTCGTTGGTGTCGTCGTCGTCGTCGCTGCCGTCGGACTGCACGGCGAGTTGAGGGTGGTCACGCGTCCGCGGCTGCCAACGCCCGCAAGGTGTGGTGAAACGGCCGTGATGGTAGCGACACTGCTGCTGCGCCGCGAGCTTGCACCCGCGCGTCGACGTGGCGAGACAGCCGCGGCGGGCGGCAGCGGCTGATGTTGGTACGGTGAGGTGGCCATGGGTATCTGCAGTGATTGTGGTTGCTGGTGCTGCTGCTGGTGCTGTTGCTGTTGCTGTTGTTGTTGCTGCTGTGGTGGTGTTGGTTGCGTCGACTCTGCGCCCGTCAAAGAGGCCATGGAGAGCGCTGGCACGGCAGCCAGGCTAGCCACAGACACAGCGGCTCCTCCATAGACGGCGTTCATCAGGTGGTGGCGTTGGTCTTGGTGTTGGTGATGCTGGTGCTGATGCTGTTGATGCTGTTGATGCTGTTGATGCTGTTGATGCTGTTGATGCTGCTGGGCAGCCGTTGTGCGAGTGTCGTACGACATGACAGGCTGCGTATCCAGGAGCATGTACTGGGGGTGGCTGTTCTGGTGCTGGTGATGATGCTGCGACGGCGGCGCCGGCTGGGACCAGCGAGCCCAGTGCGGCGGGACGGGCGGCTGTGCGGCGAGAGCCAGTTTGCCGGTGTTGGTGCTCGGCAGAGTGACCGAGCGGACAGCGGCGAGGCCGTGTTGTTGGTGAGAAGAAATTGAGGGATCCAGTGGATGGACGGGGGCAGTGGGCAGAGAGGCACGATGGAGATGCAAAGTGACGATGAGAGGGAAAGAGGAGAGAAGAGAGCTGAGTCTGTTGGTTGATGGAAGAACAGTTTGCTGTCGTGCGTTGAGGCTTGGAGAGGTCGACGAGTGAAAGAGAGTCGGTCGAAACGAACAAGTCGATCAGCCGAGAGGGACGGGACGGGGCCCAAGTATGATATATGTGTAGAACACAGGACAAGAGTCATATAGTCATATACACGACAGCTAGGAGGCATGGGAATGGCAATACGGGCAAGGATGGTCCAAGGATGTTTTCAAAAGGTGAGCACAGCATAATGTTGTCTGGGTCGTGGCTGGAGGGCGTGTCGTTTGGTGGGGAGGATATGCAGAAGGGAAAAGAAAGAAAAAGAAAGGGAAAAAAAAGAAAAGAAAAAAAAGTCGAGGACGTTGAGACAGGCTGGCAAGCCAGAAAACGAATGGCGGTTGACAACTGAACAAATGACGATGGATGAGCCTTGGCGGTGGGTGGTCGACCGGCGACAGACGGTCGACGGCAGACGGCGTGGCCCCGGAAGTCGATCCCAGTCTAGGCCAAACCTTGTGTTTCTTTTCTTTTTTCTTTTGTCTTCTGTTGCCTTTCCTGGACCGTATCGACACAAGGGCAGGGGCTGCTACGGCGTTAAGGCTATGTCCACCAGGATCAGGATTGGGTGGGGAGGTCAACTGTGATCTCCGTAGTTACTGCTTTCATTCAGTAGACGAAAAGATGAGAAAACGAGAAATAGAGGGGACGAAGAGGGTGTGGTCACCGGTGGGGGAGGTGTGAGGGCTGGGGGTGGACTCGAAGCAGGCAAGGGTAGGGGGGGGGGGGGTGCTCCATACGACATGCGCCTAACTCTTCATACATCCAGACTACGACATCGACATACAAGTACCAAACATTCCCACTGCCTCCTCTACGGCACTGTGGATCGTGCGAGAATCAATCGCCTGGGAACGGCCGAGGAACTTGCCGTTTCTTTCCACCAGCAATCTTGGTTGACTGCGAACAAGCGTCGACTGAATCGGCGGAGGGCAGAAGGGGCGTGAGGGCGTCTGCGCAGGCGTCGGGGTTCGCGCTGTCCGTTGTCCGTTGTCCGTTTTTCGTTGTCTGCTGTCAGGTGTACGTTTCCAGAGCAGACGCCCTCGTGCTGTTCCTCGCTCTCGTCATCTCGTCATCTTCTCGCTCTCGAGCCGAAGAAGAAAGCAGCAGAGACGCATCATCTGCGAGCGATTCTGTAACGTTGCGGGGGCATTGCGAGGAAAAGAAACCAAGTCGTGGAAATAAACTCAAATACTGGCATCAAGTCAGCCCCGTCCACCTCTCCACAAGTTTACCTCTCCACCAGTCCACAAGGCCACAAAACGACGCAGTATCCGCACGCCCTCATCCACACAGCGACCCAGACAAAGCTACCAAACGACGGTCCGCGCTACGACCAGATACAGCAAAAGAGTGACTGCGTGGTTTCGCGTTAAAAGAGGTGGTAAACGGGCAAGGCGGTTGTGAGGTGGTGTGTGGTTTTACGCCGCTCGTTGTCCCTTTCTTGCCTCTGATGCATTGTTCTGGCCCTGCCGCTCCTCTCCCTGCGCAGCATCAGCCCAACCTGGCTGGCACGAAGGTTGTTGAGAGAAGCAGATAAATACGCAGTACTAAATAACGACTGCTCTAAATAAGCACTGTACTAAACTTAGCAAAATAGCTAGGTGGCAGGGTGTCACTTGTGATGGAGTACGAAGAACGGAAAACAGTGGTCCCGTTTCGATAGTGCCGCCGATTCAAAGAAACGCGCCAGCGAATGCCAATCGTGTAATATACGACATACTGTGATAGATGTAGTTGCGGTGTCACAGCTGGTGGACGTATTTGGGAGTTGACAGACACAGATGGCCAGTTCGGTCAATCTCGGAGGTATCCGTGCACACCTAAGTGACAATCTACAAGCTACATTCACAAGTACAAGCTATTTGCCACGACTGGTACCGGTACAAAACTCGGCTTCTCCCCCGACTGCTCATCTTAAGGTGCAGGCTATGTGAGACATTCTGGAGCCGGCGCAACCTGTGATGTTGCCGCGGGAGCTGGGACTTGGAGGTACAGAGAGATGTGACAGACGACGGGGGCAGAGAGGCGACAAAAATGAACAACGGGGATATTTTTTCTTAAAAAAAACGTAAACCAACGAATCAAAATAATTATGTGCCTTCTTGCCCGCCAAGACACACGACTGTTTCCACTTCTAGGATGGTCACGGAGTGTTTCCTTGTCGATTTCGAGCGATGCCCTGTGTTGCGACCTCTGATTTACACATTTTCGCTGCTTTCCCTTTCATAGGCCCCTCACGGCCATCGCACTAGCCACGCCAGTCAAGTCAAGCAGGAATGCAGACACTTCCAATCCTAGGACGACAAAAAGAAAAGAAAACAAGGCCAGGAATAAGAAAAGACCCAACTTGGAAGGTAAAGAAGATATGAAAAACAGAAAGAAAGAAAGAAAGAAGAAGAAAAAACCCAACTTGGAAGGCAAAGAAAAGATGAATGAATAAAAAAAGGTTGAAAACCCCGAAAACTACAGAGAAAGAATACAGAGACAGGGGGGGCGCATCGGGAAGGATTTCAAAAACCTCCAAGACAATCTAAGACAGGGGTTGCTCTCAGCTGCCTGGACCTAAAAGTACGTCGTACCCCTGGATGGAGTCATTCGTGGGGCCGCCGTGCAGGTGGCAGACGAAGAAATATGGCACGCTTGCAGGTGCATAGCCGGTGATGCGATTTCTGGTAAAGAGAGTGGAAAAAGGGGAAGGCAACAGACGTGCGGAGGACTGACAACGAAAGTCAGACAGTGGACGAGATGAAAACCGTGTAAGAAAAGCAGAGGCGAACAGAAATGAAAGAAACACAAAAAACAAAACGCAAAACGCAACCTTGCGGCTGGGATTCAACTCCGACTGGCACTGCACTCCTCCGTACAGCTGTCCAATCCTCCACCTGTTTTGGGTTCATGGCCGAGGAAACGTGCGCAGAAGTCGTTCAGTCGTCCTCAATCCCAAGACCCACTGTACAAGATTACATGGATGTGACTTGCAGCGCAGAAGAGACGAGAAAATAAACCGCGGTGAAATACGGCCGGCCGCCAAGACGTACGAAAAGGAACAAAAAAAATAAAGTAAAATAAAGGAAACCGCCCCAACATGCGGCAAATGCCGACACATGGTGGGGCGTCAAAGAGAAGAGGACAGCAAAACAGAACATAAAACAAAAGACAAATCCAGGAGAGCAAACTATGACGAGAACTGTGACGAGAATATGACAGGTAAAAAGGAACAAAAAACGACAAAAACAAATCAAAACGAGGTCGCCGTCTTGAATTAGTCGACACAAAAACGGCTCGTATCACTTTCCTCCATTGTGACAGAACTGGTCAGTTGTCTGCGATTGAAGGAATGCGGTGCCCGAATACGCCCGCAGCGATTGACGTTGTTCTGATAGAAAACGCACAGACAGAGTGAGACGCATGAACATACATGAGCATACATGTACAAACGCGTCGAAATGGACACCTGCGCAAAATGACGACAAACACGGAGCCGATCAGCACGTCGCCGTTGTGCCTGCCGGGCGGTGGAGTGGATGCTGGCATCGATTGTGCCTGGCAAAGAAAAGCATCCCCTGGTGAGTGGGCATCTCACAGGTGGAAGTCGAAGGCACAAAAAAAAAACGACGCTCGCTCATAGATCACAGACCGCTCGCTGGTTCCTGTCCAAGGTCCATGGCCCCTGTCTGGCCGAGCGCTAGCGGATGATCACTGGCGAGGATCATTGAGGACGAGGAGGGGACAGGAGGGGACAGGCAGCAGGGGAACGTCAAGACAAAGGTGGCATGGAAATGCAACTCGTAAAATACGCATTGGTTGATATTGGCATTGCCAACGAAGAATACGTTGAATAAAAAGAGAGACATGTTTTATTTGGCTTGGCAATATGGCTAGTATTTGTGTTTTGAAGTGTAGACCTATAATCTGACATAAGGAGCGATCCATGACGTTGTGTTTATATTTTAATGATAATTTTAAGTTTTGAATTGATATTTTCTTATTTTCCTTTCTTTTCTTGTTTTTATTCAAAAATAATATACCAATATATGCAACGGCTCCAGCCTTACATAAATTAACTGTGCCGCTTGTGCCTTGTGTTCCCGCCACATCATACTGCGCTGTCAGATCTTGTATTGCGTGAAGTCGTTGGCATGCACTTCGCTTGACGTAGATTGAGTAGGACAATGCCGCGCTGAGACTATTTTGTACGACGGTCTTGTCAATTCCTTCTTCCTTCGAAACAGCACCCGCCACCTCCTGAACAGGAGAGAAAAGAAAAGCAAAAGAAAAGGACGAAGAAAAAGAAAAGAAAAAAAGAAACAAAGAATCGACAGAACAATCAAGTGGAGCAACCGCCGTCTCGGGTGCCTCGACAGCCCTTCGGTCCCGTGTGCTGGCCTGGTCTCCGATCTCACCTCTCAACGGCCAACCCCCAGAATTCACAAATGGCCTAGGCCTTCAAAGGCACTACATCCCTGTGCTGCATACACCCCTCGAAGCGCAGCCCTTCCTTTTCGCTGATCTCTCTCCTTCCGTTTTAGCTCTCGAGTCGAGTATTGTCGTCATGCAGCTTTTGCTGCTTTTTTTGTTTGTCGGAGACGAGGGAAGTTAAAAGGAAGGATGAGATGAGACAACGCGAGACAAATCTTGACGGGTATTCATTTCCGTTGTGCCATTCTGCTTTCTTTCTCTCTCGCATATTTGTCCCATTTTTTCATTTTTTTTTTTAAAAAAAAAACCGAATCAACAGGACGACAGAAAATGTGCATTTCCATGCAACACCTTCGTCTTCAGCTTTGCTTTGAATGCACGTGGGACGAGTTGGCTACAAGTTTCGACGACGTCCTTGACCGCCTCGTCTCGTCACCGCAAGTTTCTGCAGCCTGTTTCTGCAGCCTATTTCTGCATCTTTGCGAGTGTGTATTCCGTCTTTCGTTTTTCGTCTATCGGGATCTTCCCGACGTTC